ATCTAACAGCAGTTTTGGGCGTGACGGTTATTTTTAGCATTAATGTGGAAATATTTCAGCCAGAAGATTTTTATCTGTCGGTAATTATGCATTCATAAATCATGCAGGTGAAGTGCAAATGAAAACATATTATGATGGGTTAAAAAAGAACAGCAGTTTGTGTGATGAATGATGGGGGTCTTTTTCGGATAAACGTGGTACATTCATCCCACTGCTTTTCCTATTAACAGGTGTGGTATTAATGGGTATTTCATCTAGTTCCTTCCTTCAGGCGAAGCAAGTTTGCAGGCAAAGAGCGCTAAGTAGCTTAATTACGTGTTGGAAATTAAAATAAGTATCCTTTTTCTATTCTGATTCTGCCAGAGTAAGTGAGTTGATTAATTACCGGTGTGATCCAACAGGTTTTAAACATGTACACATGTAGCCTGTGGATAATGCCTTTTTAAATCCGGCGCAAACACTCGCTCTCATTGACTCTCGTAAGTGAACTGCGTCCAGGACTGACACTTCTGCCTCCTGAGGAAGTGCAGTGATTTACTTCCTATCACTGAGGTTAAAGGTGACATTCCCATTTCACCTCCATGTTGATGGATGGCATGTAAGGTTTGTGCCATTGAGGGTTTGTTCACACTTGGTATAGACCCCAAAAATAGGCTTTCACAGCATACGTTTTGCAATAAAGTGTATTGAAAAGAGCAATTCCAAACAAATGTCAACCTTGCAATGAAAAAGTTTACGTTTGCACCAAAATAGCAAAACTGTTTTTAAGTTTTTGGTGCAAGTATTTTACAAAAAATAGTTAAAAATGTCTCTGTCAATGTTTTAAAACAAGGATATTTGATTTACCTAAGTCACACAAGTGCCAATTTCACATCTGTCACATCCATAACGGAGAGGTATCGCATCCATTACCAAGCTTTTCCCTCATAAATGTAAAAATGTCAAATAAAATAAAATCAATCATGTTTGATCTATAGTGAGCCAACATTTTTCCTTTTGTTTAGCATTGTTTCTTTTGGGTTGTGCAGTTTAATTCACAGAATTTTTACATTATAAAGTATTTTGTCTACTGTAAACTTGCAGACGTTTTTGGTCACTTCCAAAATGCATGTTCATTTCCCTCATTTAAAATCTAAAAATGTTTACAGATTGATATTTTTCTGCTCCCATAACTCTGTAGTTAGTAGTTTTGGAAAACATAAACAGATGCTTCAATATGAATGTTAGCACAGACTTGAATTTATGTTTTTTCTGCAAATGTTACATCCATAACGCTGGGATTGCTCAAAAACAATGTTGTATGCTGCACTCATTTCAAGTGATATATACAGTTGTATTTGTTCTCTTGAAGAGCTTACAAAATGTGCAAATAAGTCAAAAACAGTGTTAAATTTATTTATATTATTTACATTGTACTACAACTTTAATAAACTGCATTAATTTTGAACACAAATCTTGATAAAAATGCCATTTAGCTTTAGTTATACTTCAGTCTTCGTAATCATTGTAGTTTTAATTGACTAAATTTCATAATACTTAAGTAGACTAATTCTACTCTAGATTTAGTTTAATTAAATCTTAATTTATTAATTATGCACAGCTCAAAAAGTCAGTGAGTTCTTCAGGATTATATAATGAGCATCAGAAAAATGAATGATATTAAGGTTTGAAAAAAACAGGCAGAGATTTAAAAGTTTGGTGTAACATTGAGCCTTAAACACCCTATTAAATTCATTCTTTATAATAAACCAGCGATGTAGTGCATGCTTCATTCTTTCAGGCTGACATATTTAAATAAATATAATTAAATCTACAGTACTGAGAATGGTACAGAATTTATTGTGCTGCTGTCAGTTTAAAAAAGAAAGCATGATGGGCTTTACTGATACAGCCAAAAGAGGAGTATTTTAAGAAAACAAACATTGTAATTGTGCCACTGACACTGTGCCCAGTTCATCCAAAAAACAAACAACTAAAACTGTGTGTTAATATGAGACTGACGCAGAGTAGGAATGTCTCAGCAAGGGGATTCCTAAAACAGTAAACAGGCATAATTACCAAATCGGAAGTGAAAGTAAATCACAGAGCATGTTGTGGCAAGTTTAAGGTATATGGCAGATGTTTATTGTTGTTGTTTAGAAATACATTGTTTGCCTAATCCAGTTCATTTATTTTACTAATACATTGGCATATTACAAAAAAGAAAATCCTCTGTAAGGGCGAAGATCACCCTCGATGTAAATGTAACATTACTGATGACATTTTGACGAACAACAGAAATGCATTTTTAAACATTTAGTGAGAATTTGTATGATTTTTGTTTAGTTTTTATCTAAAATGTTGTTAACAAAAAATTATGATTAAAATTATCACAGAGGGGCCGCACTGACTGTGATACAATACAAGAGGAAAAAATCCAATCCAAAAGTCAAATCTTTTCATGGGTTTTAATGTATTTGTTTGATGTGCAGTACAGAACAATCAAACCAGACCTGACTTTCATCAAACCAAACCTAACAAGTGTGAATGCAGCCTAAGTATCTACTACTGATATTTTATAACACTGGCTGTGTTGTGAGATCATCTGAAACCTGATCCCACAAATATGTAATAGTATCGGTATCTGAACAACAGATATTCATCTTTCTACAGCAGTTCTTTGTAATCAACTAATGTCACTCATCTTCATACTGCATAAAGTCACACGTCTTTCTGTCTCACCTCCGCACGATTCTTTTTTCTCCCTGAAAAAGCTCCTTTGAAACACCCCACTGACCCACGCATAGCACATGTGTCTCAGAGAAAACCTCTGATCTGTCAACAATCATTTAGTGCGCATGTTTTCTTTAAGGATTTAGTGCCCCTTCTCATTCCTGAATGACCACCCACCACAAACACATACACAAACTGACATCTATGTGTCATATGCAGGTCAGATTTAGGATTTTCATCATTTTGTCTATTCCAATATTTATTTTTAAGAACTATCTATAAATACTCACCTAAAAAGCTATCTGTAACACTTTAATCCTACAATTCTTAGTTTATACCACACTATTTTGAGGTAACATCATAATTTAGATTTTTATTCTCAGAATTAAAACTTTTCCATACTCTTTTGAAATCCGAACAGACTGTAAAACAGAAGAAACACTTGTTAAATGTCTTTGTAAAGGGTTTCAAAGGAAAAAAAATAGCACGATTGAGGATCTCACACTTCCAGACATTCAAGTCATTCTTAACACAGCAAACTCATGCAGAAACGTGTGCCTCGTTGCTAGGAGGTGCATGACAAACAAAAACAATGTGTTCTAAAATTGGTTTAAAATGTCAAACATGTTTGACATCTTCAGGTTGGATGAAATCACAGCCACAAAGTAAAGTTTCAGGATTGACAATCATATAAAAATATGGAGGGGAGTCCCCAAAATTAGTTTATAGTGTGTGTACAGAAAATGTCTCACTCCCAAAACTGCTACAATCTTCATTTAGTAAAATTATATATAAAATATATAAAAGTAATATTGCAGTCATTCGTTAAAGTCATAATTTATGTTGTGTTTTGTTGCAAATGCATTTTCATTTATCATAAACAACATTTTTTTTTTTTGCAAAAGATTGTTGCACTGTTTTGTTATGTGGCTTATTATTACAAATTGAGAAGTTTAATGTTAAGTTTTTTATAAATATTTTCAACTAATATCTGGCAAAACTAATGAGTTGAGGTGTACCTTGATATTCCTATTATATAGAGGAGAGAAAAAAAATAAATTTTTGTAAGTGTTGTTGTCCTGTGCCTGTATTAATCAGGAGATATTCTATGGACCAAAATCAATGCCAAAAGTATTGAATTAAAAAGCTTGTTAAATGGCACAAATCGAAAAATAAATAATAATACACTGAATTAAGTGCTTGCACTTTAGTCACTTGAATTGCCAGAATTTGTATTTTTAGGTCCTGAAATTTAACATAGCTGTTTATTTAAGCTGCGAATATTTCAACAAAAATGATTTCAAACACGTTTTTATACTTATATATTCAATAATTCATATTCAATTTCCAGATTTCACCTACAAAATATTCAAACAAAACATACGATGTATCCTTTTTAAAAATATTCATTTTATTTCAGTTCAAAAATTCACTTCCATAAATTTAGTGGTTCAAATTTGACATTTCATCCGGGAACTGCAGGAAAGCAATTGATTGAAAATTTTGAATATTATATGTCATATTTTTAAACAGTATTGAATATTTTGTAAGTGAAATCTGGAAATTGAATATGAATTCTTTGATTTTTAAGTATGAAAACCTGTTTGACATATTTTTAGTTAAAATATTAATAATAAATGTGTTCATCCATATCCGAAATGACTGAAGTGTTAAAAAAAATCTAAAAAACATTAACATATCAAAAACCCAGAAAAGTGTTACATATTTTATAACCTACTCACTTGATTTCTACTTCGGTTTTAAATTATATTATATTATATTATATTATATTATATTATATTATATTATATTATATTACAGTAACAGAACCCAAAAATTATTTAGTTTAATAAAACAGCGCTGCGTCGTTAGCATGGGATCATAACCAAAAGTGATTGACTATGGCATAATAAAAGCTCTGCTGCACCATGCTCATCTCTTAGCAATTGCTTTGGTGGTCTACTTTCTCTTTGATGAATTCCAGCTTCTCTGCATTATACTACTACAAGTTTTGAATAATTTAGCTCAAAAGACATGATTTCTGAAGACACCTGTGGAATGTAATGATGACGATAACTCCCATGATACCTGCAATAATTAACTGCAATAATTTTTAGGTGAATACAGGCCCACTAGTGGCAAAAATGACATTCTATGCCTTTAAATCTGTAGAATATCTCTGACTTTTAATATATTGAATTCTAAATCAGAGCAGGAAAACTCAGCAAAAGAAGTGTCGTGTATTAAACCTTTGACTACATGGGATAAAACAAAGACACTGAACTCACCACTTCAGTTGGCCGGTAGTATTTCGGATCAACCCTCACATGAATGACTCCTGTCTCCTGACAGCGGCCCACCTCCTTCTCATCCTTCCCCTCCCAGCTGAAAACAAGAACACATTCTTTCATCTTATTTGTTTCCCAATTCGGCTGTCAGCATATGTGTTACAAATTTGCGATATTTATGGTGTGCTTGCGTGTTGTTTTGCGGTCTTGTAGAGCTTGTCCACGAATCAACACCAGATGTGCCAGATTAACCAGATGGGCTTAATCTGAGGTGGATGTGTGTGTGTGTGTGTGTGTGTGTGTGTGTGTGTGTGTGCGCGCGAGCACTCACACAATGGTTTTGCCCACGTGTTTGAAGGCTCTCTCCACAAACTCTCGAACACTGTGTACTTCCCCGGTTGCAATGACAAAATCCACAGGCTCCTCCTGCTGCAACATCAGCCACATCGCCTGTGAGACAAACACAAAAATCAATATCATTATTATTATTATTGCTTCTGAGATAATGTAAGTGATATCATTATGCAAAACCTGTGAGTGTGGTTCCTGTGGCAAATATCATAGACTTAAAAAAACATTCCTTTATTTATTATATATATATATATATATATATATATATATATATATATATATATATATATATATATATATATATATATATATATATATATATATATATATATAAAATATTTTATATTAATTTACTTCATCATTTTGTGGGCATGCTTTAAACACTTAAAAAACATTTTATTAGAAACACCTATTCAAATGTTTGTTAACCCAAAAATCAGCCATGGTCAAGAAAACCAACTGAATATCAAACAATTTATGGGGAAGAAAGTTAACAGCAATGTTTGTAGTGTGAATTAGACTGGTCTGAAGTATTTTGGATACTGCTAATATATTCAAGCATCTCAAAGAAGTTCTAAAAGTGAAAATTCCTTGTTGATTCCAGAGGTCAGAGGAGAATACCCTGACTGGCTCAGCTGATGGAAAGAAAACAGCAACTCACGAATTATCACTCGTTACTACTGATGTCTGTAGAAAAGCTTGAATCGGATGAGCTACAGCAGCAGAAAAGCCAATTAGTGCCTAGGATTGAAGATTAATCAAAGGTGACATTTTTAATGTGCATTTTGGAACAAAAAGTTTGGCTTTGGTGAATCTTATATTTATCTCAAAACTCGTAAAAAATTCCTGCTCTATATCAACAGTTTAGGTTGCTGGTGGTGTAATGGTGTGGGATAGTTTACTGGCATAATTTATGCTCCTAAGTACCAATTAAATATTGTTTAAATGAGATATGAATCCTGGACATGCAGCCAAAAAATCTGCAGTAACGGTGTGATGCTATCATGGCAAAATAAGGCAAGTTTCCAGCACTTGCTGAATCAATGCCATTTCTTATTAAGGCAGTTCAAGGCAAAAGAGGGTTCAATGTGGGTCCAATAAGAAGGCATACCTAATAAAATGAGTGTATATATCATCAGTTGATTGATGACACCAGATCAAGATGCAAATTATATAAAAACCTCAAAGGAATGTTGGTATAAAAACAGCTTTATTTTCTCAGGTTCATATTTGGCATCAAGTATCAAGACTCCCCCGCATCCACACGACACACACTCAACACAGACACATCTGCTCCCAGTAGGATGTGCTTTTATGTGGTTACGATCTAACACACACCCCAACACAAAAACACACACGGCCATCCCCGTTCTGACGTCAACACCAGGCCCCATGGGATGCCAATTGTGGGAATAAAGCACAAAGTTCCCAAGTCCATACAGCCACTACATGACGAGACAAACGTCCAGACTATATCTAAACAGCAATCTAGATGAAAGAGACAGTGCTTTTGGGGAAATAAATGGTGAGATACTTAAAACAAGAACGCTTGCCAGGAGGTCAGTGGGTGATACTCTTTTGTCTTCTTCCTCTGGCTTTCGCTCCTTCTCTCTCATACACATTTTCTAACTCCAGGGCTTCAGTGTTCAGCCAGTTGGCCAGAGAATCACCCTGTTCCCTTGACAGGACTGTGCTCTTTTCTTCCCCTCAGCTTGATGGAGGGATAAAGACCCCATCAGCACGTTTTATTCGCTGCAGTGGGAGCGCAGCACTTGGCCGCCCAACTCATTCATATTTCACTCTTGCTGCACTCACTTTAAAAAACTTCTCAAACGAGATAACAGACAGACAGACAGACAGACAGACAGACAGACAGACAGACAGACAGACAGAGAAAACCATAAAATTAAACATACTGAGAGAACTCACACAGCATTGTGACTAATACAGTTTTGGATTTTATCATGGCACAAATGTCATTTTCAGCATCTGTGGCCATCTCAGAGCTGCTGTTTGATTTTGTCTAATCTGAAATGTAAAATTTTATTAACTTCATAAGGCACTGGGGTCCATTTTGACTCAAAAGAAATGCATAAATTTATTTATTTTTTAAATATGAAAAGATACAAAAATTTTGCAGATTTCATGTTTGGGTCATTTTGGACTTGGGTATGCCAACCCAGTCTAATTCTAAAAACCTACCGCTATAAGTTGTTAAGATTCCAAATTTAAAAGAGTCGCCCAACAATGACTGAAGCCACAAAAATTAGAGGGTCCATTAAATGGCATAACATATTTTTGGATGACAAATTTTCGGTGGCTGAAAATTCGGTACATCTCTAATATCAACACACTTTTAGATTCCCATTGTTGCACATTTCTGCTGTGTAATTTCCCATAGCTTATCATTAATATTGACATAAATTTTATTGTGATTCAATTTAATATAATTTATCCGATCCAGCCCTAACCGCTATAAACATTTCTGGAGAGCACCAAATAAATCTCAGTAGGTACGTTTTCGCTTTTTGAGATCTCAAATTTGTCTTGCGAGTGCTATTTGTGCATGCTGTTTTCGCGTAAGTCCACCAGAGGCCGCTGTCGACTGACTGACTGACCGATCAACTGATCCACCCTCCTCCTTCCCTAAATCCAACCAATAGTGTTTTCTAAAGCACAGATTGACCCGGCGTCATACCGCCCCATAGTGTTCATTTTAAAGACGAAATGCAGCCATACATACTTCAGGCTAATACACGATCTCCAGAAATGTATACAGGCTATGTTTTCAGAATGAGCCTACGTTGGGGTATGCAGTGAGCACCTTTTCTTGGTAAAATGATCTGAAATTAAAGTTCAATACAGAGTAAAAAAAAGACAAACAAAAATTCCATTAAATATATCTATCTTCTAGACTTATGAATTTTATAGCTAAATGAAAATACTATTGATTAAATTTGTTTGAAAACTTCTACTAGTACTAAGTTTGAAGGTTTTATTAGTAACAAACAATTAACAAAGATGAAACAGCATCTGTAAGAGTAATTGAAGTGTGCAGGACCTGATCTTGATTTATCTAGTTCCTCTGACAACTGATTTATTACTTGTGTGTTTCCAACATACTTGTGACAAACAACTGATGTCACAGTGTCAGTCACAGAGCAGCTCTCGGCATCTGTCACACAAACATGAAGAAGACCCATTGTGAAGTTGTTCCTCATATTTTTTGTCGAGGAAAACTGCACATATGTGTTGTCACATAGAATTCTGGAGAAGATAAACGTCTGGCAGTACATTTTGCCCTGAAGTGCAAACTGCTAGTCATAACAGATTCCTTCTTTAGAAGAAGCACATCGTTGACATCGGTCACACTCGACGTTTTATATAAACCATATATTACAGCAATTCCTAATAAAATCATATTTTATTTACACAAGAATTTGACTGCCAGTTGGTGATCTTTGACAGCCAATTCTAGAGAATACGAACTTGCAAAACATGTACTAATGAAAATATTAGACACTAAGGCTAATATAGGGAATTTGAGAGGACAATGGCGAAGATAAAGCATTCCAATGCAGTATCTGAATACCTACTTCCACTATGGATTATAAATAGTGATAAACGTACAGCTCTACAAATCATACTAAATGTATGAGCAACATCACATGGCTAACCATGTGCCATCAAAAGGAAACAAGTGTGATATTGTGTTTATACAGCAGTCTGACAGAACAGGTGTGTAATTAAATAAAAACCAACCACCAGTGTGTTAAACACCTTTTGTGTGAAGAACTCTTTTCATCTGCCATGAATTCAGACCTCTAAGCTGACAGGTTGACAGCTGAGCAAAAGCCACAGTTGCTAGTTTGAAAATGTCACTTTAAAACTAGTAACAATGAAATGTTGAATTTCTTTGTTGAAGTTAATTGTCTATAGCAATGAGTATTTTTATGGGACAGAGAAAATCGTAACCTGCACTGACATCATTATCAACACACATGATGCTTTATATTAGCAAACAGTTGTATTAAACACTATTATTAACGTGACCCTATTATGGATTATAAAAGGTCATAGCTTGGCGGCCATCAAGAACAGGCTGATATGAACGCACTTTCATTGACTTATAATATGCATTTATTTTTACCTAATTATCCCAATGACTCCCATATTGTTTGTTCAATAATTCATTTTTCCAAATCCCTCTTTGTGTGATGCAAATCTCTAGTGATTGTCTGATAACCCATACTGTTGAGTCTACTTTGTGCTATGTGTGTTGGAAACAAAATGCCCATCACATCATATCAAAACATGTTAAAGCACAAGCTGCCATGGTACACATGTGATCAACAAGTAAGAAGGGCAATGTTTCCTTTAGACTTCATGAAGAAAAGGCTAAAGATCCAAATGCATGACAAATCGTTTAAACAACTCTGATTCTACTTTTTATTTTTAAAAGACAATAGTTTTATACATGGTGCACTTTTAGATTTAAACGTCAGCGGAATATTTTTAATCATTTAGATCTATGGTACATACTGCATGGACGTTTTTTTCAAAAACCCAAAATAGGGGCTTTTTAAAAAGTATATTATTTATTGAACAATTTAATCATAATACAAATTATTATTTAATAATTAGTAAATATTAGACTTTTAATAAAATACACTTAGTAATAATATTAATTTCATAATCTATTATGAAATTGATTCATCACATTTGTATTAAGCTTCAAAAGTCTTTCCTTTTAAAAAGCTTGGGCATAACATCATCCATTAGTGTTGACGGTAATAGACCGGCCACTATATTAATTACACCTACGCAACAGTTTGTTAAAGTAAATCTAACAAGCAACTCAATGCTTTTAGGCATGGAGACATGGTCAAGATGTTTAAACCAAGCATCAGAATGCACACGGGATCTGATATAAAGGAATGGTCCATCCAAAAATAAATATTTTGTTATTAAATCAGATTCAAGTGGTAGTAAACTTCTGAGTTTCTTTCTTCTTTGAACACAAAATAAATAATGTTGGCCTCCAGTAGCCATTGACACCCAGAGTGAGAAAATAAATACTATTGAAGTCAGTGTTATAT